ATCTATCTATCTATCTATCTATCTATCTATCTATCTATCTATCTATCTATCTCTGATAGATACATAGATCCTAGTTTACGTCGTAAATCACGTTGCGTTCAATGTATTTCCTGTCACATGTCAACTCCGCACACGTTTGAACCTGAATACATAAAAAAAAGACTAAATCATTGAGCGAACTTCATTCTAGTAGATATTTCCTCGGTTTTAGGAGCACTGAAACCGTGCCTGCAACCTGTTATTTCCCCATCTATGCAAACACAACACCCACAGCCAGTGTTTTTACGGAAGAAAGCGTCAAACAACATCGGAAACGCAAAGCAACAGGCGGTTTCCGACGGTCCGTGGACGCAGCCGCCCCTGGACGCGTGAAAAGACGCGCATTTTCCATCCAAGGTGGAGATCTAGGGTAAAGTTGGACCGTTTAATAAGCGTCCGCGTCCTAAACGAGCAGCAGATAAATTGAGACAAATCGAAACGGAGATCACTTACATGTGCCCGGGGGATTGGCGTCCGGACAAGTCTCCAGGCTAGAATGAGCCCTCCCACCAGAGTCACGGCTTCGCTAAAAGGAAGGCGAAAGGTTGAAAGGAAAATCAACCAATCCAACGCAACACCTTAAGGCCTCTGAGTAATTGTTAAAAGATTTCTAGATACTTGCGTGAGAGGATAAACTTAACTAAATAACAATAAAAAGAAACATTAAAGGCGACTGGGGCCTCATTATCTGCATTTAAACACTTCCATGACTAATTTGTTGCTCTATCTTATAGTCTATCCTTAATGTCCTTTATTATTTGCTTTATATTTAGATCACTGGATATATTCTTATATATGTGGATGAATCAACACTTTAATTTTGTGAAAAACTGAAGGTAATGTCCTTAGATGATACACATACATGGCTCCTTCTGCTGGTTACAAATGTTCCCTTTTTATTTACTAAAACTGCCCATTGTCTCTTCACATCAGATTGAACCTCAAAGTCCTTTTATCGCTTACAAGGTTTTGGACTTTATATAATGAGGACAGCTGTATCAAAAGTTTTCTTTAAAAAAATCAGAGCGAGGAAAAGTTGAAGCTTTTCGTCCAAGATTCGTGTAATTGGCAAGAACTCCCTCTTGCAATTGATTAAATAGAATTTTAGTCCGACTAAGTATGTCTAATTCGGTGCCAGATGCTCATTAGATAGACTATGTTAAGGTTCCTCTCTTTCTCAATCACGCGCAGAGCTGCTGTTGTTCATTCACGTGGAGCTCACAGCACCTAAACGCAGTTAGCATTTGTAGTGTAGAACATTACACAGCTCTGTGATGTTGTACTTTGGCACGACGATTCTTTGACCTAAATATGAGCCAACGGACCAGCTCACAGTGACTGTACTGATCAGCAGTTACAGCGTGTTCTATTTTCAATCTCACATTTGTCTTGAAATTAACTATAGCACGCCATGCAGCAACATAAGTGTCCACTGTCAGTTGTGCGTCAAACTTCAAGTTAGTTGTTAGGGTTGTGTGAGTATCCTGTTGCCAGGTTATGTAGCTTTGTCAAAGTTGGTAACATCATGATGATCATTGGCTGTAATGCCAAAGTGCATTTGATTAGTCTTGAAAAATTCCTCACGAGACCCACTGGCCCAATATTGTAATGAGGAAGTTGATATCTTCTAGGGTCACACAACTAAAGGCTTCAGTTTATGTTGTATCCAAAATGACTTAATAAGCTCGAGGCGGCCATTCCGCTTTTGGCTTGGAATACACCGACGATGATCAAATAGTAAATATCTAGAGCCTGCAAGGTCTCAACTTCTGACCATTTCACTTTATGTCTGTTTAATCCTTTTTAAGCGAAATCATGCCAGCAAGAAGTCTCAAACCTTTGACTTTCCCCTGAACGATCAGCTGGAACAGGTGAACCACAGTGAGAATCTCCACCTTGAATTCCAGAAGAATTCATATAAGCTTTACAGCTTGTATGAATTTTTTTAGTTTAGAATAAATATGCAACTACGTTAATTGTGAGGTCGTGAAAATATTTTTTATATTTCATATGAAATATTAAATGCACCCGAACAAATCTCTGTGCAAATGTCATTTTAGCTGGTGGTGTAAAACGGAGAAAGTGATCTTCTGATGAGAGCCTTGATCTCATACTCCTGCACTATTAATCATTTAATTATCCAGCGTGATACCCAGCAGTCTGATATAACAACTTCCCTGCATTTATCCGACGGCATCTAAAGAGCAAAGGGCTCTCTGGTCCGTTGGTGCTTTTACAGCTCAGATATTATATGTAGAACTTCTATAATAAACAGATATGATGGAACTACATCCTTGAATAAAACCAAGCAGATATTATCTCACCAACCAGTGAATAATGGCTTCCATATTGATTAGCAGACTCCGTCCTTTAAACTGAAACTGAACAAATCCTCCCTACATTTTTTTTACAAGGGAAATATGCTAAATTGATTCGAATCCTGATGACACCAACCTAAATCTATATTATGTACACAAACTGCCAATTCAGCAATAGTCTCTTCTTTTGATCATCAGTGAATTGGATTGATTTGGATGATTATTTTCACACATGTTGCTTCCATTCCAAGTTACTTCCCTCTGTAGATGCTTTTGTCTTTAGGATAGAACCATGCCTAAAACTTTTGTCATTTGTTCACTATATTAATCAGGGACTCCTGGCTAAGCACTGACATGTGAAGCATATAAAATGATACCCAATAAACCAGCAGAGTCAAAAGAAACTGCTTCTTCCTTTTGGTCCTCAAGGTATTTCATAATTCATCAAAGATGCTTCAAACGTTTTTCTGACTAGTACTGACACTAAGGATGTCCCAACCAATCAAGCCTCGATGTGTTTAAACCTTGATTTGAATGTGAAGAGACTTGGTCTTCCAGAGGTCTGTTTTGCAATACCAATACCCCGTGAATGCTTTGTGAAATGTTAATGAAAACACAACTTAATGATGGAAAATTGAATGAAAAAACAAACACTGAAGGGGAGAAATTTTACATAATCAGAATCTGAAATGTGATCTAGCCTTGCCCTTACTTCTGAAATAATTCTTTCTTTCTGGGTTAGAAAGAAATGTTTCCTAAAAGAAATATCTGGAGGAAAATCCTGCAAGAAAAATAGGTTGGCATACAGTCAGTAACATGTATAGAAAGACCACCTTAGAGACGGAGGGTCTGTTAGAGGTAAAGACAGGAATAGGTAAAAATAAACCCATTTTTTTTCTTTTTTTTTTTGAGTGAAAGTCTCATTCTCCTGTGAAAGAGGATTTGTAGAAACCTTGGTTTTGTTAGAGACTTTGTGTCCTGTTTTTTTATTCACATTTCATCCAGTGTACAGCCTTTTTTTTTTTCTTTTAGAGGTAGAAATGTAAATAAGCAACATAAGCTGGAATCCAACCAACTCCTGAGCAGGTGGCATCCTATTCTGTTTTATATTGCTTTCCATTCTTTCAGGAAAAACCCAAAGCCATATATAGTAGTTATGATAGCCCTGGCAATAGCTGTCGGTTCTTGAGAGCATTGATTTGTATTTTTCTTCTGCCTGTAGGTTCATACACCAAAGCCTGAGTGGGTGGTTCATTTGGCATTCTGACTTCTTTTGAGCACTTGGGCCCAGTGCATTCAGGCAATGTAAGACCCAACACTCTCTTTCTCACGCAAACTCTCTCTCTCGCTGCATCATAACTGCCTGTAGTCACCTTTTTATTTGCTGTTTGATTTGTTTTAAACCACATTTCGTTGATCATGAATTCACATTTACTATACTGACTCACCAATTCTTCCATATTTGATAGATTCACACAGTTTATATTTTTCTTAAAACAAAATTCTGCCCGGTATTTTGAGTTTCCTCTCATGTTTTCTGTCACGACTGACCAACCTTGGCCATCGTATTGTAATAAAAATGTTTCAGTACTTAAAAATAGGCAATTACACTCAAGCAGAATTAAAAAACAGCAGAAACCGCAAATAAGTTCTGAAATCTGAAGTGGTTTAATTTGCAACAATGTTGAAGAGTGCATTATGAATCACTTTCTTTATAATTTTGCAAGGTTATGCCATGTTACTACAAAATGTTGATTGTGCTTTCCAAAACCTCAGTAAACCACCGTTTTATTTGAATGATCCATCTTTCTTTTAGACAAATTAAATGAATCTAACTTAAGAGATGGAGCTGCTGCCGTGTTCATAAATCTTCACTAAATGTGGCAAATTTATCGTGAAACATGATTAGATGGGATGGATTGGACATGACAAGATCAGCCCACGTCTTTGCCACAGATCAGATGGCCATGACACAAGCGTTTTAATTCAACCTCATCTAAAACAAAAGTGACAGTCTTAAATAAATGAATTAGATGAGACAACGATTTAAACTCCATTTCCAACACGGCCCACTATCATCCAGAGACTATCGGACTGGGAAACTGACCAGAGGGCAAGATGAATCTTATTCACTCCTTATCTGTTCTGGGCTTTGCCTAGAAGCTCTCGGTAATTATAATTTATCAGGATTCGAAAGTCAAGGAGCACAGAGTAAGATCTTGGCAGGACCAGAGCCTCTCTTTCAAAAGTCTTGCTCGCATTTCGACCCTTGAAGGTGTGCCACAAACAGGAGGAAAACACTGGGGTTTTTTTTCCACATGGTTCAACAATTTATTTGCACTTTTGTCCAGTTCTTCATGTACACACAATAGTAACACAAATAGCATGATACTGTAAACAATGGGTGAACATAATTTTAGATTTTTGAGACCCAACAGATTTCTTTTATGCCCCCAAAGTTGACCCTTTTTCTCATGTAAGAGCAAAATGGGACTAGATAACTTACGCTATGCTATCTAAAAATTGCAACTGTTTCGTATTTGGGTGTTTCCTCTGTCCAAACATTCACCATGTGTGCTTTTTGTTTGCCAAATATTAGAAATACTGCCTAGAACAAACAACTCCAAAATGTTTGGCAATTTTTGAAACTAGAGTCTTTGCAAGGCCACTTGGAGCACTTTCTGCCAAAAAAAACAAGAGATCAAGCATGCCTACATACAGTCACCTGTGAGAATACAGTTGTTAAAACATGTAACAACCATAATTGTACAACCATAATGATAACAACGTTACTAATTAGATACATTCAGAAGGAGGTTGGCAAACACAACACCTTCAAACCTTCGGTTTTTTGGTGGCAGACTGAGCAACAGCATAAACTCTGCTAAGCACCAAAATCTCCAATTATTCAAAATGCTTTTTTTTCACTGGGCTTAAGGACAAATGCACAGAGGGAACATTGTCCAAAATGACTACCACTAAAGAGGTTTAGCAATTAATCTGAGGTTTTAGGTGATTAGGGATGTCATGATATAGCCACACTGATGCCAACGGTGGCAATAAACTGCTGAAATCCCTATTGTGTGGATAACATTCATAATGTCAAACTCTGATCTCAGATGAAAGAACAAATACAATGCTCATCATTCATGGGGATATTTGTCAATGCTGTACTGTTCCTTACATCTTGTTTCCGTCGTGTAATTAAATTGGCAAAAAGGTAGTATTGCAGGAACATCAATGCTGTTCATGGTTTTTGGCCATCACATTTCTATTTTTATATCGTGACAA